CAGAGAAAGAAGTCCTTTTCTCCTTTCCTCACAATACAAGAACTCGTGGGCACTCCATGAAATTGCTGAGCAGTCGGGTTAGAACAAATAAAAGGAAGTCCTTCTTCACCCAAAGAGTGATTAACACATGGAATTCACTGCCACAGGAGGTGGTGGCGGCTACAAGCATGGACGGCTTCAAGAGGGAATTGGATAAACATCTGGAGCAGAGGTCCATCAGGGGCTATTAGCCAGAAGGTATAGAGAGGAACTGGGTCAAGGGATGCTCTGTATTCTTGGTGCTTGGGGGGGGGGCAACAGTGTGAGGGCTTCTGGTGTCCTGGCCCCACTGCTGGACCTCCTGATCCACCTGGTATTTTTGGCCACTGTGCGGACAGAGTGCTGGACTAGATGGGCCACTGGCCTGATCCTACATTGGTTTCTCTGATGTTCTTATGAAAGCACTTCGCTATTCTTTTTGCAGAAGTGCGCATGCACAGGAAAGCTTCTACCTTGAATAAAACTCTGTTGGTCTTAAAGGTGCCACGGAACTAGTCAAACTATGTCCTGCAGCTGCTTCAGACCAACCTGGCCCTTCCCACCTGAATCTATCTTTATTTCCCACAAGAGCTGCTCCACCCTCTTCCTTTTGCCCCAATGGTACGTGTCAATTTCACACAAGCTGCTGGCTGCCGCATTTTTTTTGAGGATTGAATAAAAGGTAAAGGTTCCCTTGCTCGAAAGCTAGTCTAGTCCGACTCTAGGGTTGCGGTGCTCATCTTTGTTTCAAAGCCGAAGAGCCAGCGCTGTCCGAAGACGTTTCCGTGGTCATGTGGCCGGCACGACTAAACACCAAGGCGCACAGAAGGCTTTTACCTTCCCACCGAAGTGGTACTTGCAATTTCTTGCTTTCAACTGCTAGGTTGGCAGGAGCTGAAACTAGAGACGGGAGCCGTCATGCGGCAACTCAGGTCTCGAACTGCTGAACTACTGACCTTCCACAGCCTGCAGTTCAGCGTCTTAACCATTTGAGCCACGCGGAAAATCGGGAGAAGCTGCCGACCACAGCAGTTTGTGTGAAACTGACACCTACCATGGGGCAAAAGGAACGAGCGAGCGTGGGAAATCGGTCTTTTAGTAAGAAGTTCTCTTTGCGGCGTCACCGTCCTTTGGCATTCCGTCGCTCCCTATTGGCTGGATCAAAGCCCTCCCTTCACCGGATTGGTCCCGACGCGCTGAAATGTGGCGAGCCAGCCTGGGTCTCGCCACGCCCGTTCTTGTTACTCCAGACTCGATTGTGCCCGTGGCGTGGCTCCGGGATCCAGATAGTTACTCCGCGAGGTAAGTGGAAGTTCGCTCGCGAATGAGCGTGTTGCTAAATTAAGCACGCTTTCGAACAAAGTTATCGGGGCTGGGCTGGGCGAGGAACGTTGCTTTGCTTCCATTTTGAGGGTGGACGGGAGGAGGGGTTGGTTTGGGTAGGGAGCTCAATTGGGGCGTTGTGGTCCCGGGTGAGAGGGAGGGAGTAAAAAAGGCGTGGCTGAAATGTGCTTTTTTAGAATTGTAACCTCATCCTTATTCGTTTCTTTTCTTTTCTTTTTCTTTCCTTCCTTCCCCCCCAATACATTCCAGCACGCGCGTGTCTTTCTCCGCCCCGCCTGTAAACAGAGTTTTAGGAAGTGTTTAAAAAGCAACTCAACATTTATTTCAATCCTAAACACTATCGAAGTGCTAGTTGGTTTGCTTTCAGGCGGGGGTTTTGAGTCTACTTTTACAGGCTTGTCGCAAGCCGCAAGCCGCGTTGAAACTTCCTGGCACGCCGTTGAGTTTCTTTAGCTTTCTTTGGCACACTTGAATACCTGTGAGTTCTAATGGGTTAACTGCAATGCCCCCTCTAAGCTGTGGAGTCTTGGGAGCAAAAAGAATTCTACCTTGTGAGCTGCTGGCCTTAAAGTTGTGAGCCAGTGATTTGGCTACTGCATAAATTAGCTTGCTCCGGAGCCCTCCTTCCTGAACTAAGACAAAAATGTGTGAGCTGGAGGCTAAAAAACTGTGAGCTAGCTCACACTACCTCAGCTTAGAGGGAACACTGGTTAACTGTACTCGGCAAACCAGAGTAATTTATAAGTGAACTTAGTTTTGGGAAAAGAACGAAGTTGGAGTCCCATTTTATCCGGCTGTCCCTGCAAGCAGGATCAGGGTGGATACAAGCTGTTCTGTGCATGCACAGTCCAAATATTTAGCCAGGGGGTGAACTGTTAATTAGCATACAGCATAATAGAGCTGTTTAACAGATTCAAGGACCCAACAGGAATAACAAGCTTAGTTTCTATGGTTACCATTTGTTTGAGTTTAATTCTGGGGGGAAACATCGTGAAGGAAGCAGAAGAGAAGAGATTGGATTTATACCCCGCCCTTCACTACCCAAAGGTGTCTCAGAGCGGCTTACAATCCCTTTCCCTTCCCCTCCCCACAACAGACACCCTGTGAGGCATGTGGGGCTGAGAGAGCTCTGACAGAAACGGCTCTTTCTCAAGAACAGCTGTGCCAGAACGATGGCTTGCCCAAGGTCATCCAGCAGGTGCAAGTGGAGGAGTGACAAACTCTCTCCCGCTCTGCTGTGCAGCTTTCTGGTGATGGTAGACTAGTCTGTGGTTCTCAATCTAGCCTGCCTTACAGCGTGACTATGAGGCTGAGAAAAAAGAAAAGGGAGGGGGCGTGTATGCTGTCTGGAATGCATTAGAGGCGAGAAAGGGGGCTAAATTACTTACGTAAGTGCCTGCATAGACCATGCTGGGGCTCTGGGTTGGTGGAAGAAAATGAATTGAATTGTCTCAAGGCCACAGTCCTATCCAGTGTTCCCTGTAAGCTGAGTTAGTGTGAGCTAGCTCACGTTTTTTTAGCCTCCGGCTCACACATTTTTGTCTTTGCTCAGGAAGGATGGCTCCAGAGCAAACTGATTTATGCAGCAGCCAAATCACTTGCTCACAACTTTAATGCCAGCAGCTCACAAAGTAGAATTTTTGCTCACAAGACTCCACAACTTAGAGGGAACATTGGGTCTATACTTCTATCTAGCTGCATGTGGCTTTGGGCTGGTTGTGAGTTATGGGACTTCAGTAGATGTCTGGCACTGCTCTGCCACTGGTTCACACAGCCCCAGATTCAGGTCTCTGTCTGCAAGGGGCTTGCAGTCCGAATTTGGGCAGGTGAAGTAAAGGGGGGGGGGTGAAGAAGAGATTGGATTTATACCCCGCCCTTCACAACCTGAAGGAGTCTCAGAGCGGCTTGCAATACCTTTCCCTTCCCCTCCCCACAACAGACGCCCTGTCTGGGGTAGGTGGGGCTTGAGAGAGCTCTTTCGAGAACCGCTCGTGAGAGAACAGCTCTGAGAGAACTTGTGACTGACCCAAGGTCACCCCAGCAGCTGCACGAGGAGGAGTGGAGACTCAAACCCAGGCCTCCCAGATTAGAGTCTGCGCTACTAACCACTACACACAACTGGCTGTCTGGAGAAAGTAGCTGCTTGTATAGATGCTTTGATTTGGCTTCAGAATAAGAACTTTTGAGTCATTCTTGCTAACTTCCGGAACACAGTTTTGTTCTGTTTTCTTTGTTTGGGTCAGATGTGATTAATGGGGTGGTGGAGTGCAGAGTGTTCTGTTCTGTTCCCAGGGCCGAGACATGCAATCTCTTCCCTTTTCAGCTGCAAGGGTAAAGTGGGGGTCTTGAGGTTTCCAGCTCCTGGTTGGAAAATTCCTGGACATTGTGGATGACACTATGTGGTTCAGGGCAGAGAGAGACTGGGTGTGGTTTGGGGAAGGAAAAGATCTCAGTGGGGTATGCTACCATAAAGTCTATCCTCCAAAGCAACCGTGTTCTCTAGGGGAACTGATCTCTGTTGGCTGGAGAGCAGGTGGAATTCCAGGGGACCCCAGGTGGTCTACTTGGGAGCGCCGTGGTCTACTTCTGGGGGAGGGCATGTCTTTACTATCAGAAGTATGGGGTAACAAGTCCTGTTATGTCCTGTTCCTCCTCTTTTCCAGTCTTTCCTCCAGGAGGACTGGAAACCTGTGCTGTCATTGATTTTTAAAAAAGAGCAACTCCACTTTGCTAAACCTGACCTAAGACTTGCATGGTCTTTTCCTCCCTATTGAAGGTGTTGTGGCCAGGGGTCATTTCCCGCAAGAGCGCACAGGAGCGGAGCTCCAGCAGTAAGGAGCCCAGGGGGCGGGCACATGCAACAAGCCCTGCCCCCTGCTCCCAGCAGCCCTCAGTTGGGCCTTGAGTAGCTAGAAGCAGCCAGGTAAGTTGCAGAGCCCCCCCTGGCCCACCTTCAGGTACAAGCTCTCCCTCCTCTGTGAGGAGAGATCTGCACATCCCCTCCCCATAGCTAGCAATCCACGTTAGTTCAGTGGCAGCGTTAAGACCAAGTTTTATTCAGGCACAAGCTCTCCCTCCTCTGCGAGGACAGATCTGCACGTTTCCCCCCTCCTAGCTAGCAATCCAAAACAGTCCAGTGGAGCCTAAGCGGTGGGTGTTGCCTTCTGACACACTTCGGTGATGTCAGGGGGTGTGGTGTATGCAAATGAGTTATGCTAATGAGCTCCTGCACCTCTTTTTCTACGAAATGACCCCTGGTTGTGCCCGATGGGTAATCCTGCCACTTGCTGAAGCTCTTGCTGAGTCACGTCCTCGGTTGTACGGTGTTTACTCACGACTTTCCCCGGTTGCAAAACTTGGAGGGATTCTTGTGGAAAGCGCATGATGCATGACGAACTCATGCGGGGAACCAGCTGTGGTGACTAACTCTGTGTCCCTGTGTCCCCCAAGGTTGGCCTTCTACTGAATGAGGTTGAAAGGACTCAGCTGTTTCTAAATGAGTAAGCTCAGGTTGAGTCTCTGGGCATCCGGCCCACTAGGGCAGAGTTGAGACACTGAACAAACACACACAGCGTGATTCCCTGTCCCACAGAGGGGCCCCTTCGGCCTCCAAGGTTCCCGTTTTTACCTGCCTGTTTCCTCCTACTACTGGCACCAAAGGCTACCTAAAACGGTGATGAGAGTTACAGTTTTAAAATGGAGCGGGCATGCTTCTAGTCCTCATGGGAACAGCTGTGTTCTGAAAGTTGTACAAGTCAAAAGCAAAGACCGCCAGCACAATCTATATATAAAGTCTAAATAATTGTTACAGTCTATATATCTAATATATCTATCTAATATATCTATCTAATAGGAGCTGCGGTGGCTCAAGTGGTTAAGACGCTGAACTGCAGGCTGTGGAAGGTCGGTAGTTCAGCAGTTCGAGACCCGGGTTGCCGCATGACGGAGTGAGCTCCCATCTCTAGTTCCAGCTCCTGCCAACCTAGCAGGTCGAAAGCAAGAAATTGCAAGTAGATAAATAGGTACCACTTCGGTGGGAAGGTAACAGCGTTCCGTGCGCCTTGGTGTTTAGTCATGCCGGCCACATGACCACAGAAACGTCTTCGGACAGCGCTGGCTCTTCGGCTTTGAAACGGAGATGAGCACCGCAACCCTAGAGTCGGACTCAACTGGCTTTCGAGCAAGGGAACCTTTACCTTTACCTTTAGATCAAATCAAGCCTGGACGTTCCTTAGAATCTTACATGACTAAACTGAAGCTATTGTCCTGTGGTCACATTATGGGAAGACTAGACTCCCTGGAAAAGACAATAACACTAAGAAAAGCTGAATGCACCGGGAAAAGAGGAAGACTCAATGTGAGATGGATTGACTTGATAAAGGAAGCCACAAGGGCCTTCAGTTTGCAAGACCTGAGCAAGGCTGTTTTGGAGGCCACTAACTCGTAGGAAGCAACCTGACGACGCTTCTTTTGAGGTTTTCAAACAGAGGCTCGATGGCCATCGGACAGCAGTGCGGATTCTGTGAACTTCGGCAGATCATGAGAGGGAGGGCAGGAAGGGCTGCCTCAGTGCGTAGTTCTCGTGGCCCTTTCTTACACAGAGGGCTATTTTTGGGCAGG